CTTAGAGTATAAGGAGCTATTTGGCTTGGGACCTTGACATGGTCAAAAAGTAAGTAGCTGTTTGGTTTAGGAAAAGCTAGTATGGTTTGTTACGAGCTTTCAACACATAAGCCTCGATATAGTACTGTAGTTCATCAGATTCACTGCGTGACTTATTAGTTTTGTTTGCAGCGAATGCTTCTCTCTGATCTTCTTTGGGTTTCTTTTTGATTGATTCTAATGTTGTATGTTCTGGCAAAGACCCTAAACTTAAGAATTTTGCTTGTTTGCCATTGTGAAATCTTAACAATTTTTTACAGATCCTGGTAGTGTTGATCATATCTTTCATCACAGAAGATTATTGTAAGGACCAAAACAGGTATCAAATAAGTCTACGACATAAGAAAAACACTTTGCCCAAATTGCTGAGTTTTTTATGTCTATAAATAAATAAATGTAAGACATTAACACAAGCAGCACCAATGGTCTAGTGGTGGAATAGAACCTTTCATGGTACTGCTCAGGGTTTGATTAGCGGCAGGTGCAGTTGAGCTGTGAAGAAGTTGGCGTTAGCGTTGGTTGGGTCCTTCGCATTACTCTGACTCCTATGATGAGAGTAAGCCATAACTGAGCTCTGTAATTTTTTTTTTTAATGAAGAAATTGATAATGCATTTGGCTTTAAGGGATGGAGGGGTCCTTCGCATTCTTCTGATTTCTCAGAAGAAAATGATATTTCTTGATCTTCATAGTAAAATATATTGTTTAAATCGAATGTGTGTTGAATTTTTTCCACATTCTTTGCTTCTTGATTCTTTTGTACATGTTCCTCTTTTTGAACATTTTCCAACTGAACTGATTGTTGTTTCATTTTTTCTATCAATATAAAATGAACAATAGACTAATTACAATCAAAAATCTAATAGACTAATTACAGTCCTAACTAACAACCAAAAAAATATTTAATTACAATTCAGAATCTAACAAACTAATTGCTTTTTTAATTATCTTAATATATGTGAAATTACTATAAATTTATTTTTCTAATAAAAACTACGTTAATTGTTCAGAAACTTTTTCTTATATTTATACGCTAATATAAATATTTATGTTTTTCCATTGAATATCTCTATTCAGTTGGCTTTTTTTTTATTCTTTATCTTATTTTTAGTAAGATCATTAAAGTTAATTAATCATCAGTCTAACTCACTTTTTTTTTTTTCTTATTCGAAACAGTTTCTGGATTTGTATTTCGAAGGAAATTTGCAGAATTATTTATTAAGTGAAGAATCCAAATTTTTTACTTTATAATTTCATATATTTATATTACTACTATGTTTACCTTTTTAATATAAGTTTTGTTTTTTTCTTAATTTATTTAATATGCTGTTTTAGTTTTTTATTATCCTAAAATATGTAAATCTATTGTAAAGTCTTTTTAGTAGAAATTATGATATGTTAATTGTTAAAAAACTTACTTTACTTATACGTTATTGTATATATCTACATCTTCTCAGTGAATATCTTTATTTAATTGACTTTTTTTATATCACTTGTTTTAAGAAATCAACAATATTAATTCACCATCACTCCCACCAACTCTCTGTATTTCTTATTCTAAATCATATTTAATACTACTATTATGTTTATTATTTTAATCTTTATTTTGTTCTTTGAAAATTTAAAATTTGTTTTTAGTTTTTTATTATCCTAAAAATATATAGAGCTATTGTAAAATTACTTTTGAAATATAAATTATGATGTGTTAATCGTTAAAAAAACTTGCTTTTATACTTATATGTTATCGTATGTATGTATATCTTTTCAGTTAATTATTTATTCATTTGTTTTTTTTTGTATGTCGCTTATTTTTATCAAGATCAACAAAATAAATTAACAATCAATTCCGCACACTCTTTTGTTTATTATTGAAAATAACATTCTAATTTTTTTATTTGTAGATAATTTACAGTTTTCGTGATTTTTAAAATAAGTATTTGCTTATTACATTTAAATTATGTCATGTGAATGTTCAAAAAATATATATGTAAAACCTCATTAAAAATTTAAAAATTAGATAATTTACCATTTGTTGTGGTTTGTAAAATATTTATATATTAACTATTATTTGAAAAGCATGTTTAATGAAAAAAGCTGATGTGCTACAAATAATATTTTATTAGTTCATAAAGATATTTTTTTTATTTGAATTCTTAATGTTAATCAAAATACACAAATCAATATTTTTAACAATGTAAAATTCATTCAGAAAATATCATACGACTGAATTTGGAAGATAAATAAAAAAATATTATAAACTTAAAAAAATATACTCATATTTTACTATATTATATTATTTATATAAGTATAAATGTATAATTATTAATCAATATAACTATTAGGATCATATTTTAACATATAATTTTCAAAAAAGTATTATCGTATCGAAATTTGCTAATCTTTTGTATTGGCCCAACTCAAAACCGATAAAATTTATTAATTTATAATAATTATTAATTTATTTAGTATTAATTTTTAGAGGTTTCAGTGTAACACTAAAATTAACAAATAAAATTAACAGAAAATAATAATTTTAATGATTTTAATTTTTTTACATATATTTATAATAGATTGCATAAAGTATGATTACGAAGTAGAAGTAAAAAGAAAACTTCTTCTCTACAGTTTTGGTTTTCCATAAAACTCTCGTGCTTTGTTTTACTAAGTCATTAAAAATTATAAGAAGCAAACTATACTTTGTTATTTTTTTTTAACACATAAAATGCATATTTTGACTTTTCCAAAAATATACATGCAAATATGAATGTTAATTGCATAAAACTCAAAGTCGTATGCAAACTTATCGTGCATGTATTTTGTTAACTTCAATTACAATTCAATTTTAATTTTAATCATTAGACAACCTATATTTGTTTTTAAAGGCTCTATGTGCGGGTCAGTCATCTACCCGCTCTTAGGATAAATAAAGTTGGTAAAACTTATTTTTATTTAAAATGGTAATAGGTCAAGAAAGAAATATATACTTAAAATATATATGTATTAGCAAAGTTATATTTTGTAAGGAGAAAATAAAATATAGTATATATAATATTCAAAAATTATTATAAGAATTGAATTATTATTTAATATAACTTTTACATTTGTAATTATATGTCACTATAAATGCTAGAAAATATATATATTTTTTTTTAAATTAGTTTTAAAAAGCACAAAACAATATGAATTGTGTGTTTGATTGTTGTTAAATATCAAAACTGCATTTGTATACAAGCATAATGTCTGAAAAAATATATGAAAAAAATTAATCAAGATTTAAATATTACAACTAACTATCGAAAAAATTATACCCTCACATATTTATGTTTTTATTATAAATATATCAGGTGAAGATAATGCATACCTAAGCTCTGGCAGCATTATTCCTTCAGATAAAGACACATTGAATACTGTAGACTACCGAACTGAGTTTTTGAATAATATCAAAGTTTCTGGATTACTAAAGCATTGCTTGAAATTAAAGGTTGGTGCTCTAGTCATGTGTCTTCGTAACATTGATCCTAAGGGCAGAATATGCAATAGAAGTAGACTTATTATTACTCATATGGTTTGATATGTGGTTGAAGGTAGAATTGTAACGAGAAATGAGAAACTGATTGGTCAAATAATTCTAATATCTAGGATGTATGTGACACCACTAGACATAAGGTTTCCTTTTAGAATGCGTCGAAGACAATTCTCTTTGGCTTTACCTTTTGCAATGAGCATAAAAAAAAGTCAAGGACAATCACTTGAGAATGTTAGTATATTTCTACCTAGGCCAGTTTTCTCTCATAGACATATGTTATATTATCTAGAGATAAGTCTAGATCTGGACTTAAAATTTTCATAACAAACAAAGAAGGAAAGTTGAGAGTGTTGGCCTATTTCTACCTAGGCTAGTTTTCTCTCATAGACAGCTATATGTTATATTATCTAGAGTTAATTTTAAATCCGGACTTAAAGTTCTCATAACAGACAAAGAAAGAAAATTACAAAAGAAAAATTATGAACGTCTTCTATGAAGAAGTGTTTCAAAATCTTGCTTAATTTTTATACTTTTGATATATTTTAAATCTTTTTTTAAGTGATTTAATGTTTTTTTAGTTAATTTAGTTATCGCATTTACATTTTATATTGAAATCTATAATATTTTTCACTTAATCTATAGTTATATTTTATTATTAAACGTTCATAAAATATTATTACTTAAAAATATGATTAATTATATACAATTAATAATAAATTAATATACAATATTAATTATTTATTAAACGTATAAAGTATTTTATAGCTTACACAGCTGCATGCCAATATAGAAGAACATATAAAGTAAAAATTTAAAAGCCAATCACGAACAAAAATTAGGGTTTATCCAATTAGTGAATTTGGGAGAGCGCGCATGACTTGGGCAAGGGTTTACTTAGTTTAGAATCATGAGCTAATTATCCTACATCAGATAATTACTAATTATACAGTTGTTGATTATACCGATAGTAACAGCTCGTGGGACATGGTGGCTTGGGGATGTACGGTTTGCTTAACCGAGAATCCCAAGTGATTATCACAAACCGGTCCATACTCGTCCATAGTCCTTCTAACAAAGGATCTTAGGGGAAAGCTTGTTTCTTGACAAGTGGTCTCGGTTTATTCTCGTGGACACATTGAGCGGTTGTATGATCCCATGAGTGCCATTTTTTGTGCTCTGATTGCCGCTACATAGAGTTCGGATAGCTTCTATGTTCTGGTTGCAAACGTATTGATTGAGATTGAGGAGACGCAATGAATTACCTAAAAGAATCTTACTTTTCGGTATTGTTTCGTACGAATTATATTGGGGATTTTTTTTTTTTTTGAATATTAAAACTTGTGCCACGAGGCACATTCCGATACGTTTATGGGCTCGATCTTTCCACCTACACAATCCAAGAAACTTTGGACATCGGAAACTGTAATAAAATGTGTTTCAGTCAATTTTTTTATAACCAAGATCAGCAAATCCCACTCGTAGTTTCCACTTATTCCAAGAGCTAACAACACCCTCGAGGCAGTCTTTAGCAGCAGAAGTAGAAGACTTGGCTTTTTCCTTCTTCAACGCAAGAGTCTTGATGTGTTCCTCGACTCGTAATCCATCAGAATTTCCTTTCTTCCTCTCCAAGGAAACCTTATCGAGCTTTGTCTTCAACCAGTTTAGCTTGAAGCCCATCTCTGTTAGCTCGATCTACTTGCTTAGCTCAGTCTCAGATAAGCTCAATCTCAGATAAGCTATGTGGAGGTTTGTTCAATGCCTCGATGAGACCGAGGAGGATGTTCATGTATGTTGTCTTCATGAATTTGACTGGGTTCAATGGTGTCAAAAAAATCCAGAATTGCCACCAATACCACTGGATTTCTTTAAAAACTAAGGTAATTTTCAAAATTATATGGGTTCAATTGACACCTTATTCTACCAAGTGGACTCGCCACTGTTCATCTGTTGGTTCTTTGGTTTGAAATTTGCTGCAATGTCCGGGTGCCTCGCAAAAAGCCTGGTTACTGAAACAACCTGTCAATGCGAGAAATATGTAATTATGTTAACCAGAAAAGGGAATAAAAAAAGAATAATGAAGACAACAAGAAGCATCAATAATAAAGAACTTGGAAACTTTGACATCTAAGGTCTCGTTCCCGGTTACTTTTGATTTATCAACTTCAACTACTTTTACTTCCACTTTTAAAATCAGTTTGTTCTTCTCCACAAAACCCTTCTCTAACTTCATTTCTATATCATAGCCCAACTCCTTAAACTGAGGATCATTCGAGATAAGCATACACATTTTCCTAGTTCTTTTGACCATCTTCGCGTGAGTGCATACATCAAGAAGAATGTCCAACTGTGCCAGGGGATCCTTTCATCTGTTTGGATACTTTGGAATCTTTGGCACTGTTGGCTTACACTTTCGACATGTAAACAATCTTCGAGTATATGGACGCTTCACATCTGCGTTCGGCACACATTCCAAATCTTTACCATTCACATCATTATCCACCGGGTATACATAAAGTTTACCACAATGAAACCAGGCTCCTACGATATCGGTAAGTTCATACTTAAACAGCGACATTGCCAAATTGACAAATAACATCCTCTAAGTCATCTTTCATTTTGTAATTCAAGTTGCTCGCATACAACACACGCTCCTCTTCCATTGATCATCTGATTTCTACTTCACGCACCACACTTTAATGTCCCTACAAACTAATATCATTTTGGGTATGGGACAATGTTTGTGCAAAAACATTGATATTAATGTGTCATTGTATGGTCAAAAGAACTAGGAAAGTGTGTATGCTTATCTCGAATGATCCTCAGTTTAAGGAGTTGGGCTATGATATAAAAATAAAGTTAGAGAATATAGGGTTCATGGTTTTTCAGGATCTACTGAAGGGTGTGTCTAGGAAGATGATGTATCGACCAACTTTGGATTCGGAGGTAAAGACATCGAAAAGCTTTTCGGGAAGAAATTTACTATCTTCCTAGGTGAAGACATGGGAAAAGCTTGAACAATGTTTGTTTAATCAATAAGTAGAAGAAGCGTAATAGGCAATGTTAAATTGAGTTGGAACAGAGCAGGGTTGAAACGTTGAGTAACAATTTTATTTTTGTTGAAAATTGAGATGTAACTCCTAAATCGTTTTCCATGGTTGGACTACTTCCACTTTAATTGTTTCATTTGCCTATTTCCATGGACAAATACGGAGTCACGCGCTCTAAATGCGAGTGGACTGCAAAAGATGATACACATCAATAGAGACAAGTAATTACTTGACTAACATCTTAGCATCTCGACCGCATAGCGCAGTGTATTGGTCGTGGGTTCGACTCCCACTGTGATCGAAGATCTGTCTCTCTTTTTGATGATTCTCTCTCTCAAGTTCTTGTGAGCCAAAAAAATCCTTCCTTTAATTTCAGAAGGAAATCATTAATTCTAAACAAAGTTCGAACTTTGCAGAAGGAAATTATATATATATATATATATATATATATTAGGTGGTTGCTCGCACATATGTGCGGGTATAATTTTTTTTATATACATAGTTAATTGTAATATTTAAATATTGATTAGTTTTTTTAAATATTGGTATCTTTGTATATATATTGTTTTAATATTTCAAAAATTTCTCTCTGAAACCAATGTATTTTAAAAAATTTATTTTTATAATGCTTGTAATAATATATAATCACACATATAAAAGTTATGTTAAATAATAATAAAATTCGTATAATATTTTTTGAATATTTCTATAATATGCTTTATTTCTCCTTACTCAATCTACAATATGTTTTTTTGCGTCTTACATAATATGGATTTGCAAATACATATATAATATATTTTAAGTATATATTTTTTTTGATTTATTGCAAATTAAACTGAAATAGTTTTAACATTTTTACTTATTCTTAAGAGCGGATAGATGGTTGACACGCATAATATCAACCACTTCACTACACTTAGAATAGATAAATATTTTTAAAAAGAAATAAATTGTATAATAATTAAATAAAAATTAGTCTGTAATCAATCTTAACAAAATACATGCACGAAAAAGTTCGCATGTGACTTCAATTAATGTATAATTAATATTTATGTCTGTGTGCGTATTTGTAAAAAAAATGAAATAAGGCTCTTAGGTGTTAAAAAGATTTTAAGTGACTTTGTAAAACAAAGTGCGAGAGATTTATTTTTAAATACTTCTATTTTTATTTCTTTTTCATATTGTTTCATCTTATTATACTTTATTCTTTTGTTCATTTATTTTTTATTTTATTTATGTTCTCAAAATTTTGATATACAATGAAAATAAATTTATGTATATGTATATACATATGATATAAAAATTTATTTTTATTTAAAATATGATAAGAGATAAGATGAGATGGTAACATCATTTATGTACATTTTAGAAAACAATAACAAAAAGATGATAAAAGTTATAGAAAAATATATGGTCCTATTAATATTATAAAATATTAATTAGTGTATACTTTATTCATTTAGTAAATATTGGTTTGAAAAGAAAAATTATTTAAAATTATGTTTTTTTTTAAAACATCAATAAAAGTTTATTATTTTTATTATTTTTAACATTTTATTCTTTAAATTATTTTTATCATGATTGTATTTTATTATTTAATAATTTGTTTATTTAAAAGTTGTTTAGATGTTATTAATATATTTTGTAAATTAATAACTTTTCGAAATAAAAATATATCATACTTTAAGTATTATTATTAAATAGAATTTTTATTATTCTATTGGATAATTTAGTATTATTTTTTCGTTTTATATGAAATTATAATATATATATATTGTTGAAAAAATTTCGTAATTATATTTTATGAAATTATGAATATATGTAAAAAGTGAAATTATAATAACTTTTATTTTCTGTTAATTCAAATTTATTAATTTTAGTTTTATAAATATAATCTAGTTTATTTATGTTTTAATTCCATAATTTCTATAATTTTAATTTAACCAATCAAAACATTTCGTTTATTTTAGAAAGTTTGATTTGTCACATTTACATGTCATCAATTAAAAGCACTAACTTTTGCTGTAGTGTTGACAAGTCAGCTATTTTTAATAATGTTACTTCTCAAATAATATGTAATAGATATATATATATATATATATTGGATCATGAATTCTAAACAAATCTGAATTTCTCGGGTTATCTCAATGGTGTTTCCTTAAAATAGTAAATGAATAAGTTTTTACTGAATTAATTTCTTTTCTTTTTCACTTACACTAGATAATTAAAACCTCAAAACCATCAATGAGAAACCACAAACCCGTGAATTTGTTCAGTGTTTATGATTATGAAGAAAAATGATTCTCAAGAGAGGCAGAGTTCCATAACAAAACTTGGGTGAAAACAAAAACAAAAGGTGTTGGACAAAAAGGGAGAATACATAAGTAAATATCAAAAGCTGAATCATTTCTAGAAGCTAAGCTGGAGAATGAAACTACACTTTGATAGCATATTTCCTCACTGGGAAATACATCTCTTTCTTCTTCTCACGCTGTCTTTAAACCAAAGTCAAGATCTTTGTCCAATCGACAAGGTTAACTTAAAGTCTCTTCCTTTGGCTTCTTCGCAATCAAGTTCCATAAAGCAGTGTTCAAAGCAGAGGATGTCACCAAGGAAGCAGTCAGCAGACTCATTGCCTGATTTAAGTAAGACACTTCCTATCAAAGTTAGTAAACAAAGGGAGAAAAAGGTCAACTGTATTACTTGAGAAAGAAGAAACGTTACCTCTGCATTACGGATTCTGACTACTTGAACATCCAGATCATCTGCTTTAAACTGCAACTTCTTCAGAAAGCAGAGAGATGTGCTCATGGAGTTGCTCAGTGTGATTATCAGATCATCTGAAACTCTAAACCTTGCTCCTCTCTTCACAAATCCAGAGCCTTCCTCTGACTGATCTCCGCCATGAGATTTTGGATCAATCAAAGACACAAAGACTAGCCTGTCCTTTCGATAGAGCAGAGTCCGATAAGAATCTGTAGTCAAACTGTAGTCAGGTTGTCTAGGATTGGAATTTCTGTACCGGTAGTAATCCGGTGGGTCCTGAGTGATGATATCCAAAAACTGCTTCTGGCATTTATAGTAATAAGGAAGCACACATTTTGAAGCTGAATCTTGCTTCCCTTTGTCAACACTCAACACCTTGAAGCTTTTGCACAAGTTGCCAATACATCCAAAATTGGAGCTGTTACCAGAGATTTCCACCACAGATTCGAGAGGGACAGCAAGAAAAGTGAAAAGAAGATTAACGAAGTCTTCTCCGCATTCGACATATAGAATCTTCATGTCCTGCTTACTTACTATCGCCTCCAAAGTAATCTCTGGTTCTGCTACATCTGTTCTTACCTCCACGCATGGACTCAGAAACTTGTGCATGTTATTCACATCCTGTGGAATTTCCTTCCTCAAGAGAGCGTCTGTTAAGGGAGTGTTTGAGAAGAATATGCACTCAAGAAGAAACAGAATCTATAAAACAAGAACAAAAAGAGAAGAGTCAGTAACTTCTAATTGTAATACAATACCACAGTAGAAGTTTATAAAGAAAAGGAAGGTACCTCTCTGAGACCAATATCAAGAAGCTGTTCCCCAAGCTTACTAACATCAGAACAACCTAGACGATGCAGAGTTTTCAAGACAAGACCAGTCGATTCAACAGACACTTTCAAGTCATCGGTGATGATGAACGAAGACCTGCCACCGACAAACACTCCACCAACATCATCTTGTACGCTACCTGCAGCTTGATCTTCTTCTGACAGTTGGATTTCCTGGTTCATCAACTCTCCGCACGAACAAACAGAGCCGCTGAAATTAGTGCACAAGTTGCAGCGAGAGAAATAAGGGCACTTGAAGAACTTGAGATCATCAGTAGGGTTAACGTTGAGCTTAAGCCTTTTGCACTCGACCTCCTTCACACTCGTTGGATTCAGCAATATCTGCTTGCAAGCTTGGGTCTCAAAATCGTCAACGCCCATTTCCGCGACACTTGTATAGAGGTTGCGAAAACATCCAATCTCGGATTTTCGATGCCTCTCAAGCAATCTGACAATGGTGCCCATTGGCAATGTGAGAAGGCTGAAGAGTACATCCACAAAGTCCCTACAAGCCTCAGCCAAAACCACCTTCTTCTTCTCTTCATCAACGACAAGTCTCAAAGTAAACTCTGGTTCCTCTGAAATTTCAGCCATCGTAGATCAGAGGAAAACAAGGCAGAAGAAAGTAATTCAAAGACACATAAACGATTCTCTGAAAACTCGAGGATATATATTCAATCCACATTTAAGAGGAATAATAACACTTTTCATCAATACCAAAGAGCCATAGTAAACGCAAAAACAACCCTTTGAGCTTCTCCTTGACTGCACGATTTGAAATCAATACGATGGACCAATTTTTAAGAGGGATTAAATTAATTCTAACATTGAATGTCAATCAGGGGAAGAAGACAAAAAAAAAAAAAAAAAGCAAACCTTTGAGCTTCCCCTTGACCGAATTTACTCTCAATCTCTTGGGAATTAGTGATTCAAAATCAATACTTTAGTTTAGCCGAAATGTACTACCCACTAAACAGATCTTCGTTGTGTTTGGTCGAGATTCGAGCAGGAATTAGGGTTTGAAATTACAAAGCTGGGAGGGATTGAATCTCGAAGGAGATGATTTTCTAATCGAGCGGGGGAAAGATAAAGAAAAATCGTCATGTTTGCAAACGGTTAAACCGAAACTTGGTTTGAAATCTGATCAAAGAAGGAGAGGACAGAGACTCCCGGTGACTCAGAGGGTTTCAATCAAGAACGAAGATTATTTCGATTTGGGCTAAAAGAATAGGTGGACTTTTATAGAAAACAAACCCAAGATTATACATCCCGGAGGTCTCTGATTGTTTTAAAAAACAACCTCATTAGTTATTCAAGTTTCAATTAAACCCACTTAAACAACGAAATGAACTTTCTAATTAACCCACATTGACACATACTCTACAGTAGTACTTTGCTCGAATGAAAACTCCAGGATAAAAAAAAACATCAACAACAATAGAAGTAAGCAACCACATGCTAAAGAACGAAGGTATAAAAAACAAGAAATATTAAAATTAATAGACAGAGTTGAATATCTCTAAGAGTTTGTCTCTTCCTTTGGCTTCTTCATAATCAAGCTCCGTAAAGCAGCGTTTCAGTGCAGATGATGTCAACTCTCAATAAACTTGTAGCCTGATTACAAATAATCGGAAATGTTTCTATTAAACTGTTTTTCTACTTGATGAAAGGATATAGATATTATAGTTACAAGAATATATATACATTTGTTTTGGTGATGCTTATTTATTGCACCTGAAACTTGCTCACGAAGCAAAAGGTTGAGATGGGTGTAATGAGCAGATCATTTGATACTGCAAACTTTGTGTCTCTCCACTTGCTTGTGTTGATTCATCGTTTCCATCAGATTTTGGATCAATCAAAACTAAAGTTTCCCGACGATCATGTACTCTCCTGAGCAACTGCTTCTGATGGGGGATCACGGTTTTGGATGTTGAAACTTGTGTAGCACTCAAATCCTTGAAGGTTTTGAACAGGTTTCCAATGCAACCAAAAGTGGAGTTGTTACCAGGTGAGCTAGTCCACATAATCAGTATCAGCCCTCATCTCCTCAGGTGTTTCTTCGGCCGCATTCTCTTTAAGCCTTTTGGGACAAGGTGAGCTTGACCTTGACCTTGACCTTGAGCTTAAGGGACCAAATACGAGGGCATCTTCTATTATCGACCCTGGGCTTTCTTGTTCGTTGCCGCCCAGAGTCGGAGTTACGAAAATATCGTAAGCTCTCGAATGCAAATGCAAACTTCTAAGCATGACCTCTGTGACTTGATCTGAGACTAAGAACACATGTGCTGGATAAGGATAAGGATGGGCCACAGAATAGTCCATATCCCATAGAAGAATGTCATTTAACATTCTATTACGTCTCGAGACCCCACCGGGAAGAAAGTAGATTCTTGTTTCCCACGTCTTGTTACGCAGATACTCACCACTCCAAGACCCGTTATGCTCATCAACATAAACCCAGATTGCCATCGAATCACGACCAAAGTCAAGAGCTTCCTCAATTCTGCGATAGATCTCATCAGGATCGGAACAATGACGAAGGAATGGGCGATCCACGACGTCCCAGAAGACAGCTACGGCCACATTATCCCCGGGAGTGATAGGACCGGAGAAATCTCGGATCTTGGAGAGATCTTCGCCCATGGTTCGAGGAGGGAATTGGGGTGTAGCATCCTCCGCATTATCATTATCCACGTCACAACAAAAACTTGGCCGATGCTCCTCATCAGCATCACAATAATCCTCATAATATGCATCACAGTAAAAACTTGGTGCATCACAATAAAAGCTTGAAGGAGCTTTTCTTGTAGGCTTTCCTCCACCGAAAGCTTGCGTACATTGAATTAGTGATTCTACATCCTCAAACGCGGTGTCATCAGGCGGCTCTAGTAGGAGAACAGTGTGATTTCTCGACTGCAAACACTGAAGAACCCTGTGCCACTCCTTTTCAGGGCCTTGTTTTGCGATTACCACTAAAGTTTTTGAAGGACTCGATGCTGCGCAAGCAATCATATCCCGAGGCATTCCCGAAGCTATATATATCAACAAAAGCCATCATGTATCAACAAAGCAATATGTATCAACAAAAATATAATCGTAACAAGCAGAAACGAGCAATAGTTGTTAGGAACTCACTTTCTGGAAAGTAGTGAGCGAACTCAGTCGCGATTCCGGCCTCCTGCAACTCACCATACCCCCAGAATTCCGTATTCTCACGAAATTTCATTCTCTCAAGAGCCATTTGGATCTTACAAAAAATAGAATGAAGACGGGCACGATCAGGGATAAGGATTGGGTAGTCCTCCAAGTTCCAGAGGACTGGTGTTGTTTTTTGGTGCGAATCCTTTCTAAGCGCTTGCTTTTCGATGAGGGTAGGAAAAACGTACGCTTCATCTATTAGCAAGTCTGGCCATTCAAGGCTATCTGGTTTGTTCAAGTCCGGAGTCGGAGTTACTAAGAGAACCCCGTAACAGCCGTCACTCAACCCTCGGAGCCTATAGTACAAGTAGGTGTCCTCTCCGAATTGATTTGAGACTAGCGTCACAATTGCTGAGTAAACCCCGTTCAGAGGAGTGTCCATTGCCCATAAAAGAATGTCATTGAACATTCTGTTACGCCTCGAGGCCCCTCCGGGAAGAAAGTAGATTCTGGAACCCCACGCCTTGTCATAGGAAGACCACTTCTTCTCATCAACATAAGCCCAGACTGATATCTCACCTGTACCGTGCACGCCCCTTGCACGAACAGCTTCGTCGATTCTGCCGTAAATCTCGTCAGGATCGGAACCATGAGGGAACGGGCAATCCTCCAAGTCCCAGAAGACGGCTAAATTAGCCCCTTCGACGCGCTCGGAGAAATCTAAAAACTTGGATTGGGCACCTAGACTTTTGCTTCCACCAAAATCTCGTCTACATTGAACTAGTGATTCCACGCAATTGAAATCAGGCGGCTCTAATGCGACAACAGGGTGGTCTCTCGATTGCAAACACTCAAGAACCCTGTGCCACTCAGCTTCTGGGTTTCGCTTTGCGATCACCACTAAATTTGGATTTGGTGGTTCACGACCACTCATGGTTACCCAGCTAATCATATCCAGGGGCATCTTGAAAACAGCCGAATTGTCACCCCATTCTCGGTCGTCGTTCAGCCTGATTGAGTTTAGGTGTTCACTTTCTGGGAAGTAGATGATTCCGGCATTACGCAAGGCATCCACGTCGTGGTTCCCTGGGTCACCATACGCCCGGATTACCATAGTCCCATCGAAGCCCATTCGATAAAGAGCTGATACGATATTACCATGAATACAACCGAGATCCGCACCCTCAGGGATTGGGTAGTCCTCCAAGTTCCAGAACACGATTGTAACATCCCAGGAGATTTCTTCTTCTTCTTCCTCCATCCGAGACTTTCTCGCTAAATCTTCTTCTGGGTTAGATCGGGGGCTTTTCAATGTGTCTTACAGATGAGAGAGTGCCTTTTATCGAGAGATTTAAAGCCTTTTTTTGAAACATATAATTTTCCTTTTTTCTTCTGTTAGTTTAGATTTTCTGATATTAATTTCCATTCTGATTGTATTAGTAATATTTTGTAAAGCATAATTTCCATTTTATTTTTTGTTGATTAATTTTTTTGATTTCCATATTCGTGTTAGTTTAGGTTTTATGGAAGTTGTGTTTATTTAATCATAGATTTAAAAACTAATTGCTTCTTGGTCATGTAATCCAAAGTTTAAAAAAAAAGTCCGATTTCTTTTGGTAGCTCTGGTGATCTCTGGACCAATAGAACAAATAAAATATAGCCCACATCTGAACCCATTAACAAATAAATATATGACCACATGTTAGCCTATTTGGTTGGTGTATTAGATTTTTGGATAATTAAATCAAGGGTTTTCTGCAAATAAACCTTAGAAGTGATTTTTTTTTCAAGTCTACCCTCGATTCATTGAAAATGCAGATCAACCCATAATGTTTTGGTCAAACCGTATATAACCTTTCCGTTAAGTTTCCTGTATATCGATGACGAATCTGAAAACACTGCATTTTAGACTGAGGGTGATGATAAAAAAACCTTGCCGTTATTAATACTAGGAAAAGGACTTCGCTTCGCAGGGTTAATTTGCGGTATATTAAAAATTAAATTAAAATTTATTCAAAATAATTATAAATAAAAAAATAAAATAAAATTTAATAATAAAAAATATAAACATCTAAAATAATTTATAATGATTAAGATAAAAAAGTATATATATTTTAATTATTAACAGTAAATTCTAAAGGAAAATGTACAAACTAATTAAGATAAAAAATGATTACTACCAATTATTAATATAAAAAATAAGAAATAATAAGATACACAAGTTTTAAATATGAAAATATACAATCTGAAAATATAATATATATATGCAATTTTTAAACTATTTTTATAATTATTAAAAAATTCGTATTCACAAAAAAGTGTAAAGCAAAAAGTAAATATATAAGCAATCTTTCAATAATAAATCCACTATAGTAAGAAAGTAAAAGTTAGACCCAACTGATTTTTCTTTCTGTGGTTTTAAGCAATATAAATAGCTTTGAAAAGACACAAATAACAGTTGTGATGGAAAAACGCAACCATTTATAGTGTAAAGACGCAACCATAAATTTTGAAACGACACAACTTTTAAAGTGCAAGTGGCATTTATTTGGATTATTATTATAGGTGGAGTAGTTTTTTATGTGATTTGAATTATATAAATAATTCGAATAGACCCAAATTATCTGTGATGAAAAAAATGCAACCATTAATAATGTAAAAATACAATCATTTATAATGAAAAAAATACAAATATTTATATTGAAAGTATGCACCCACAAATTTTGAAACCACACAACTTATCAAAATACAAATAGTATTTCCAAACACAACCTTTAAATTATTAGATTTGATGTTATAAAAAAGAATGTTGACCTTAAAAACTTTCATTATTTCATAGTTTATTGTAATAATATATTCACTATAGTAAAAAAATAAAAGTTAGACCTAAATAATTTGTTTATGTGATTTTGAACGATATAAATGGTTTTGATAAAACACAAATAACAGTTGTGATGAAAAAACGCAATCTATACTATAAAAGATGGCCAACTCTCTCCATATGAGTGTCACCTCATCATTTTGGTTTATTGTAGAAATGACATGTGTCATTTTTAAAAGTTTAATGATACAAATTATGTAAAATACAGTTAATGCATAAATTTATTGTATTAAATATAAAGAATTATATAATATATTTTAATAACAATATATACATAATATCCAAAAATAATTATTGAATATCTATTTTGTGGTAGTTTTTAAAAATCATTAACAAAATTTATGTTTTATATTAAAGAGTGTTTTCTTATTTTTATTTAATATTATAAGATATTATTATAAAAACAATTATACAAATATAAAAATAACAATTATTTGATATCTTGAACCTTAAAAAGTTAGAAGAAAAATTTATATAATATTATAATAAAATTTAAAATAATTTTTTATAAACTAGTAATTATTTGATAATTTATTTTATTCAAACTTGATTTATTGGATATTTAAAAATATTTAACGCAGCTGTATAAATTAGAATTATAATTCAATTATTTAAGCTCATAAAAATATAAAATCATGGCATTGCTATTGTGTAAATGTACGCTGTGAACAAGTATGACCTGTTAAAAAAAGTTGTTTCTATCTATGTTATGTTTGAAGAGTTTCTCTAATTAATTTTTGTTATATAGTACATCTCTTATTTGCACTATATCCATTTAATATATTCTATATATACAAGGTAAAATATATTTCACATTTTCTTATAAATAAACCATTGATCACATATATAGTTAATATCCACATAATATGTAAATATGTATTGTATGTATATTCAAATACACAATATCCTTTAAAAAAATTTAAATATACGATAAAATAAATTGTAACTACATTTTATAATAAATTATTTTGTAAAACAATATTCGCGCATCGCGCAGGTACTCATCTAGATATTTATAATGAAAAAAAGCAACTATTTATAATGAAAAGAAGCAACATTTATAATGAAAAGACACAACCACAAATTTTGAAACGACATAACATTGTAAAGGGTAAGTGGCATTTATTCAGGTATTTATGTTTTGCAAGTGACATTTATTCGAATAGTTACCAGTCTTGTCACCGGTCACCATCATAGTAAGAAAGTAAAAATCAGACTCAAATAATTATTATAGATAGATAAAACATACATTAAAAAAAATTAAAAAAATATTTAGCTTAGTAGAAAGAAAACGCAACCTTTGAATTATTAGATTTTGTATCATATAAAAGAATGCTGACATAAAAAACTTTCATTATTTTACAACTTATTATAATAATAAACTCATTATAGTTAGAAAATAAAAGTTAAACCTAATAAACTTATTATAGTAAGAAAATAAAAGTTAAACCCAAATAAACTTTTTCTGTGGTTTTGACCGATATAAATAGTTTTGAAAAGACACAAATTATAGTTAACAAAAAGACACAACCATTGGTAATGAAAAGACGCAACCACAAATTTTAAAAAGACACAATTTTTTGAAGTGCAATTGACATTTATTCAGTTTGTTATTATATATAGATAACACGTGTTTTAGATAGCAAAATTGGAGAAAAATGCATACTTTTTTTCTTCCTTTCCTCTATATCGTACTGGTTTTTTAGTTGCTCAATTTAATTTAACACTTTGACAACTAAATTTTAAATAAAAACACAACCTAATATGATAATTTAAAGAAAATATTATACTTAAAGACACTTTTTAGAAAACTCATTACATTATAGACACTTTTTAAAACTCACACACTTTAGTGTTGTGAAATCTCTTTATTAACCTTACTGTTTTTTCTTCTACTTTTCATCTTTATCTCTTTATTATTTTTCACTACCATATATTTTATTTTCTTAGATCCCTAATTTCACCATTCCTTCTTTTCTCCAATTTTATAGATCGCCATGACTGGTCAAATTATATAAGCAATAAGCGCTTGTAAAGATAGCTCACGACTTAGGCACAAAGAAAAGACAAAATCGAACATCAAATGCAACTACGTACAGTTAATAATGGTTAATTTTTTTTTTGACTGCAGTTAATAATGGTTAATTATAGGAGCTGAAGTTTGGGTTTTCTTCCCACTCATCTACTGGTAATAATTAAGAGCTAAAGGGGGAAAAAAGAGAAAACTGCTTGATGGAGATACATATTGTAAAACGTTTTAGCGAGTTGTCAAAAGAGAAAACTGCTTGATGGAGATACATATTCGGAGAAAGTAAAGACAAACAAAAAGGAACCGTAAACTACATAATTATGGATAAAGAAACGTGGACAAAGTTACTATGGATAAAATTGAAAAGAAGAATATGGTCAGGTATTCATGGTCACAATCTCCATGGTCACAAAATCATGGATTAGTAGTGATAAATTTGACCAGTAGAATCTGACCATCCGTGTTTGACCATAAGAGACCAGCGAAAATGAATGTCGTTACTAGTAATTCTTATAACAAATTTATTACTTATCCATATAAATAATCAATTATGGTCAAAACATTAATGGGAAAAGAAAAATCTCAAAAAAGCTTTCGATTAGATATATGATTTGGTATAACTAAAGTTATATTTATTTTTGACCATCTCTAATTTGACCATATCATCTATAATTTAATATCTACAATAGATTGACCAAGTTATAATTGACCACACATAAAGTAGTAGAATGATTGACATTAAAATATTTTCGAGTCAACATCTTAATTTAAATATTTATCAAGTAGGTCCAACCCAACAAATTAACAGTTTGTTTTTATTTTTACCAAAACACAACCGACCCAATAAATTAATAGTTTTCTTTTACTTTTCCAAAACACAACAAATTAAAATAAAGGGCATAAGAAAGTTTTTCATTCCAAAAAGCACAAGCAAAGTGCTTTAATTTCAAAAAGTGTATATATATGTAATGGAAAGTGTGAAAGTGCCCTTGGGCATAAATCTCTCATAATTTAAACTCCATATCGAATTGAGATTTAGGGTTTCATCAACAACTCTACATAATCGAGTTTGGTTAGTAGATCTAACTCATCACGGGTTGAAGTCATCTCTGCTCTGGTGGCGTCGCTGATGGCTAAGGGATCGAGTCTAGGTGTAAACGTGGAGAATGTTTAGGGATTGAATTTTAGAGAGAGGATCTCACGATTTACTCTGATGCAACTTAAGAACTTTATTCATCTTGTTCTTGAAAACCCAGATTTTTTGCAATTCAAACCCATAAAACTGAATGAAAACCCAAATAATTTCTAATTTACTTCGATTTCAACCAATTGGATAAGAATCAATGAAAGTGGGGAATCGGAAACCAATGAAGCTGTTCGTATTTTACAGTTTCTTAAAAATGAAGAAATTGAAAATTGAAAAAAGTGAAGTAGAGATAGAGATGAGCCACACACGATGAACATCATTTGTTCAATTTTATAATTTTATTTAAAATAATTTAAGTTTATAATAGTTCAAGTGTTTTCTGTTTTAAAACGTCAGGTGGTTTTCAAACGTCATGTTGTTTTTTCACTTTTAAAACGGTACGTTTAACAGTCCATTTGATTTTTAATACCACGTCATCGATATAAAGAAGAGTTATATAACGGGTTGACCAAAACATTATGGATTGACTTGCATTTTCAATAAATCTAGGGTAAACTTGCAAAAAAAACCATTTTGAAGGTTTATTTGCAGAACACCCTTAAATCAACATGACAAGAATTTCTACTAAAAAACTCTAAAAGCAATCAACGTGACAGAGTTTTCTACTAAATACTTGCCGACAACGAAAGAATGGTTACAACCTGAGTTTTTTAAAATTCCCCTTTTTCACTAAGATTGTCAATCTCCAAAACAATATATCTATTCTCTAAAACAATTGATTGTTTCATTCAGTTTTTTTTGTGTGATGCTTGTTAAATCTTATCATACAATAGAAAATGAAGAGGATAAGAAATATACGACCTCTGTGCAAAAAAATAAAATAATTTGATGATGTTTATTGTGAATAAGTTAACGTTTAATCCTATTTTTATTTTGGAATCAACAGAGGCAACCCTCCTATAGAATACTATCTGACCAAGTTACATGTTTTTGCAATGAGCTCTCATGAGAATAAAGAAGTTTGTGACATTCTGGTGGGTATGGGCAAAAGTGTAGAAATACATCTACATTATAATTATTCCGTAAGAAAAGTCAGATGCAAAAACCATCAGTATGATTTCTATCTGATTATAATTTTATATTTTTGTTTAGCAGTGCCGAGTTTGACTTAAATATTTTTTTATTATTTAATGTGAAACAGGCTTACCACGAAAGACAAAGTAGCCCAAATCGATCTGGTGAACAAGATAGATCTTCATTTAAGGGAGATCAACCAGCATAATCAGGCCCTCATGATCATTTCTGCATATCTGCCATTTACTACAGTGAATCCAGCGACTGTATCTGCTCCACGTACACCCTCGATTTACGAAGATATAAGGGCTGCTGGAATCAAGCATTTTACTGATTTACCTAAGAATGTGGCTGCAAAGGAGTTGCTTGTAAAGAAATCGCAACGTTGATCTTCTCCTAATCCTTCTCTTTCACTTTCTTCTTCTTTTTCTCTTCTGTTATCACCTTCATTTCATTACGGATTCAGTAAAATAAATCATTTCTATACATATGTCTATACATACATGATTTTTTTTTTCATCTTACCTTAAATCCAACATGACAGGGCATTTGTGGATTAGTACCCACCTCAATCAAACCGTTAGCAATCAGAACTTCACTGCTTGATGAATTTTCATATGGTCGCTGCAAAATAAAAATTTACTAATGAGATTATAAATAGCAAACTTTTAAAAATATGTCTATACACATGAATTTTTTTTTTTTTCCATCATGCCAGGGCATTTGTGGATTAGTACCCGCCTCAATCAAACGGTTTACAATAACCAATTGAGTTGAGGCATTTGTCATGTCGCATGTGTCATAGCATGATGTTATAGCATGTAACATTAAAAAATAGAAAGATTATGCGAAAAAGAAAAAATTTTAGGGCAAATCAAGTCATTTATGAGAGACTTATCAGTTTTTCCTTTGTTATGATTGACTCAAAATCAATCCTTGGAGCATGCAATATGATTAAATAAAATGTGGTGAATTTCTAACGATTCCATGTAATATGATTAACTAAAAAGTGGTGAATTTCTAACGATTCCGAAAAGCGATGGTAATTTTGCTCGTCACTGCTGTATAGACCACTTAAAAATACATTCTCCAAAATTGGGAATCTGCCAAGTCTGAATAACTAAAAAAGAAAAGGAAAAAAACTATGGAGACATATCTAGTATACCCAACAAGATCCTAAAACAGAGAACAAAGATAGTAAAAAGATGGACAATGGGTTTCTTCAAGTCTCTTCCTTTGGATTCTTCAAAGTCATGTTCCATAAGGCAGCGTTTAGCGCAGAGGTTGTCACCAAGGAAGCTCTCAACAAACTTGTCACCTGATTAGAGAAAATCAGAATTTTAGCTACGAGAATCGTTAAATGTTTCTTCTAGTTGATAAAAGGGAATAGATATCATATATATACCTGTGTTTTGCTGATGCAGATTTCTTGCACCTCGAGATCCTTTGCTTCAGTCTGCAAAATGTTGAGGTGGAGATCATCGGTGTTATGATCAGATCATCTGATACTATAAACTTGGTGTCTCTCTTCACGAATCCACTACTCTCTGTTGGCTGATCGCTTCCATGAGATTTTGGATCAATCAAAACCATAGAGTTCGTTCTCTGATAAGGCGGACGCTGCGCAGTGGTGATGTTGAGCAGCTGCTTCTGACATCTGTAGTAGTGAGGGAGCTTGTGTGGCACTCAAGGCCTGGAAACTTTTGAACAGGTTTCCAATGCACCCAAAAGTGGAGCAGTCATCAGAGATCTCCACTACAGATTCCAGCAGAAGAGCAAGAAAAGTGAAGAGAAGGTCAACAAAGTCTTCTCCGCACTATACAAACAAAACCCTCATGTCATGTTTCCTCACGATGGCACTGAGAGTTATTACTTGTTTCGGTTCAGCTTTGGATTCCTCTACGTTTCTCTCAATATATGAACTCGGCGTTTCACAAGTCTTGGTCACACCTTGTGGGATATGCTTGTTCAAGAACGTGTCCGTCAAGGGAGCATATTGCAGCAGAGTCATAACCTAAAAATCAGACCAAGAAGGCATAGTGAGAGGATGAGCATAAAGAATAGAAGCAGAGCTTAGACGCAGAGTTATATACAATACCTCTTCAAAACCGATTTCAACAAGCCTTTCTTCAAACTTACTGAAATCGCCACAGCCTACGGATTTTAGCTTTCTCAAGACAAGGTCAGTGGACCTGACAGCCACTTTTAAGTCGTCAGTTATGATGAATGAAGACCGGCCTCTAACAAATACTCCATCTTTTATGTTGTCTACAACTTTTGCTTCTGCTACTGGAACATCCTGATTCATCAACTTTCCACATCAACATCTAGAAGAGCTAAAGTTACTGCACGTTTTACAGCTTATCCAAGTACGGCACGCAAACAGCTTGTTGCCCTCAGTAGGGTGTAAGTTGAGCTTAAGCCTTTTGCACTGGACTTCCCTCACACTCCTCGGATACAGGAGCATCTGCTTACATGCTTCGGTCTCAAAATCATTAGTGCCCATCTCCACAACACTTTTATAGAGGTTGCTTAAACAACCAACCTCTGCTTTTCGATGATTCTCAAGCAATCTTTGGCAGCGTCACAAGGCTCAAGAGCACATCAACAAAGTCACTACAAGCCTCTGCCAAAATGACCTTCTTCTTCTCTTCATCAACGACGAGTCTCAAAGTAAACTTGTGCTCCAAAGAAGTTTCAGCCATTTCAAACCTATAGAAGATGAAGGAAGAAAAATTAAACAAGAAAGCAAAATTTCCCAAGGCTAGTAACAACACACAATCAATATATTCTGACACTAGATACAATAAACTAGAAACGACGCTTTGAAATAACCACAAAACTTCGAAAGATTGAGTAGAAATAACCTGTGTCACTCTGCTTGCGGATCCCTTGATAAAACTCTAAAGAGAGAATATTTATGTTCGGAATATATATACAGAGAGACTAAAATAATCAAAAACCCATCGCAATAGAAAACAGGAAACTAGGCTTTTTAAGCTAACCAATTTAGAAAATTGTCAACGACGCCTTTCCTTAAAAATATGGAAAATATTTAGTTCATATAGGCTAAAGTTGGACGTCTTACAAAGACTCATAAAAAAACAAAAAATGGCAAGTAGCTAAAATTTGAAAATATTAGACAAAGTAGAGATGTCCAAGAAACTACTATAGCAACTCAAACAGTCAGATGCTAATCAAAAGGTTGTCAACTTTAGCAAGAACTTGAAGTTTCGGGTTAAACATGGCTCCTCAAGTCTCAATCTTCGGCTTCTTATAAAAACGGCTTTCAGGAGCACCTGTTGAAGCTGATTCCATAGCTAGAAGACCAGTGCTTAAGGCAGAAAATGTCACCAATGAAGCTCCCAATAGTCTGATGACCTGCAAATGCATATATATAGGATCAATGGATTTGGTAAAATATGATATTTTGAAATTAAACAAGAATCTCTGACAAGCTTTACCTCTTCTTTTTTCATACTGATCACTCGAAACTCGACATCCTCTAATCGGATCTCTTTATCTTTCAGCATTCCCAAGATTGAGGCTGAGTTCGAAGGAGTAATGATCAGGTCATCTGTCACCATGAACTTTGTCCCTCTCTTCACAAACCCACTTGATTCACCAGTGCTGTTGCCTTCGGATTTTGGGTCTATCGAAGGCACGAGTTTATCCCAATCATACACGAGTCGCTTACCGGAATTTTCAGACAAACAGTACTCCCTAAAATGATCCACAGAGAAGGAGACATAACGGTAGTAAGTTGGTGGCTTATGTGTAGTCACGGCATCAAGCAGCTGCTTCTGACACTTGTAGTAGTGAGGAAGAACACATTTAAAGCCCGAAGCTTCTCTTCCGGAATCAACACTCAAGTCCTTGAAGCTTTTGCACAAGTTTCCAACGCATCCAAGGATGGTTCCGTTCCCCGATATTCCCCATACAGATTCTAGAGGCATAGCAAGAAAAGTGAAAAGAAGATCAACAAAATCTTCACCACATTCAGCATATATAATGCTCCCTTCCTTCTTCCTAACATATGCATTCAGCATTATCGTTTGGTCAGCTTTTGATTCCTCTCCATCTTCACCAAAGGCAGGACTTGTCGTTGTTTTATGAATCCTCTTCATACCATACGAGCTTTTCTTTTTGAGAAACGTATCAGTCAATGGAGTATCTGATGTGAATAAACACTCCAGCAAAGTCGCTACCTATATAGCATTTAGAAAAAGCTGACTTTAAGTATTCAAGCTCATAACATCAAACTAAAGTCTAGTAGAAGTAGAAGAAGAATGTATACCTCTTGGAGGTTAACCTGGAGAATCATCTCAATAACCTTGCCGCAGTCTGCATAGCCAAGATCTTTAAGAACATTAAGTGTTGACCCAGCAGAGTTAACTTCCACTTTCAGATCATCAGTGATTATGAATGAAGTATGAGAACTCCTCACAAATACTCCACCTTCAGTACCATTTCCTGCACTTGCTCTGCCTCCTTCTCCTTGAAACTGTATCACTTCATCCATCAAATTCCCACAGCTACATCTGGAGGTATTGAAATTGTTGTACCCTTTACTACATTGCCCGCTTCGCACAAACATAGGGCACATGAAACACTTTGTAGCCTCTGAATCATCTGTTTTCAGCTTCATCTTTTGGCATCTCTCCTAATTCAAACTACCCGGATACAAAAGCATTTGCTTGCAAGCTTCGGTACTGAAATGCTTCATCCCCATACTCGCAACACTTCCATAGATGTTGTTGAGACAACCTATGGCTACTGACTCTGACTTTTGATGCATCTCCAGCAATCTAACGATCGTCCCCATTGGCAATGTCGAAAAACTAAAGAGTATGTCCACGAAATCATTACCCGACTCTGCGAATACAACCTTATTCTTCTCTTCATCTATGAACAGCTTCAAGTTTATCACCGAACTGTCCGACATACTTTGGTACAAAACCTGCTATTGATACAAATTGATAGAGGGTCAAGGGTTTACTCACAAATCAAGCTAATACCCAAAATCCTAGCCATGTGTTAGAGAAATTTTGAATTGATAAATTTACGAAAGGTAACATTTTCACACATGCATATCAATCTATGATCTTTAATCGGATAAATCGTGAGCAGAAGCTAAAAACGAACAAGGCGGATTCTGTTCTTATATGCTACAATGCGTAATGAGGCTAACAATGAACAGAAATCTCAGAGTAAAGAAGGCTAATGTCGCCGAACAAAAAGTGAGTTTCTCGATAATCTCAGACGGGGGAATCTGTAAACCCCATCGATTCCTTACTAATAGCAGATTCCCGAGAAAACGCAAGAAAACAAGATTGAAGGGAAATAAACACTGCTACTCGAAAGATTGTACCTTTAGCTAAATTTGCTTTCTTTTCGGTTGAAATTTCACAGTGAATTAGGCAAATATTCTCTCGCGATAGAATTTAGGGATCATCAACAGGTCTTCGTCAAAAAGGAGGGGAACATTGTGATAGAGATAAACTTCAATCTGTCTAAAAAACTTTTGATAGAACCCGAAACCAATGTTCCTAAAGATCCCGTACTCAATCACGGTTCTTTATTGAAGTTGAGCTTAACTTGATAAAGAAGATAAGAGAAAAGGAGAGTTAGTAAACTTGTTTATTGATATCGTTAAAAAGCTCAATACAAATCTTTATATAAGAATTCTAAACCGATATAGTAATATGGAAAATTTCTAGTTTTGCAAAACTAATAATAAAAAGGGAAATAACACAAAATATTTAAGACTGGTAATAAATTAATTAATCGATATATTTTATTTTTACATCCGAGCATTAAACTAATTTGCCACTTTTATTCTCGTTTTTGCCTCATGGACGTTTTTATTATTTTACCGGAATTTTCTTTTTATTTATTTTCTTCAAATCAGATAATCTGTATATATATCCAATACCAAAATCTAACGAAGGGGTGTGAAAAGACCAATAACCGTTTTGTTAGCAACTATAACTACAATTATTGCAACTTATTTTTGTGTGTAACAAATAGAGCGGTATATTAATAGCACGCCTCTTGCTCTCACGGAACCTTATACCACTCCATCGCCGCTTAAATTACCCTATTTTCCGATACGCCCAAAGCAAAATCGATACAGAAAACAGGCAGAAAGCAGAAGAAGATAGCACTCCACAACGCTTGCAGTTGATTATCCAGGTAAACCCCAAGCGCCCGCCATGTACGGGAGCATCATGCCTTGCTATTACTTTTTTTCACATATAGTCACACCTTATTACGGCGTGTGGGATTTTATTTGGGGGTTTCAGTAGTAGTTTGGGATCGATAATTTGTATGTTGGATTTTTTCTTGTTTTGTCCTTCGATATGTAGTAAATGCCAAATATAAGTGCGGGTAGCCAGATCTTTTAAAATCCTGCCAAAATCTTAGATTTCCTCAGTGGCCCTCCCTGATAAATACTCATCCGTTTATACATATGAATGTTTAGGAGATGTGTCTGTTTCTTAAGATTTACATGTATAATCCACATTTACACATCGCTGTCCTTGACGGTAATTGGATATTTACATTGTTAAATTCGGCTCCGCAAATAACAATGAACTCACCATGTCTACATATTTGTTCACGGAAATCATCACTGAATTATAATTACTTGTCTACACATTAACCCTTACCACGAATTATATTTACTGTATGGTAGATTGACATCGTGTTGTCAACAACATTCGCAGGATGGAATCGAATGATCTTCCCCCTCACATCTTCGCGGACCAGCAGGAGCCGGTTGGAGATAGAGTGAATTCCTACTTCAAGCTTGAAACCATTAGTGTTATCCTCGAAGCACTCACTCTGGACGAATTAGACGTGATCCGTCCGCGGTTCGGAAAATTGATAGACATGTACCAGAAACGGCTCACTCGGGGAAACTTGCCCACTTTTTCCTAACCAGGCAGCTCAAAACCGAGAAAAAACATGAGCTCTGGTTCGTTTTTGGGGGTAAGCTGATAAAATTCTCTTTACTGGAGTTTGCTATCGTCACGGGTTGAACTGCCAAACCATTACCCCTCCTGCTCGCGACATCATTCAATGCAAACCCGGTCAAGTCCCTTACTGGTTCACCTTATTTGGAGGCAACAAAAACATCACGGGAGAGAAGCTAGAGGTCTTGCTCAGGCGCTCTAAAAACCTCTCCAGCGAGATGAAGATAAAATACGCATGCCTCCTCCTCGTTGATGGATTGTTATGCCGCAAATCAGCATGCATAAAGATTCCGAAAGACCATATGGAGATGATTCGAGACCTTGAATATTTCCTGGACTTCCCATAGGGACGGAACTGCTTTGATATGACAGTACAATGCATTAAATCCCGCACAATCAACCAGCTAGCATAGCCCACGATAGCTGTTCAGGGTTTTATACATGCGGTCCAGCTAGTGCTACTAGAGGCGGTCCCACAGCGCTGGAAACCGTTGGAGAAGAAGGCGACACAGACTTGGAAGACGACGATTGTTTGTTAGCTAGCACCCTCAAACTGGATAAACTATGGGCTCTTGACTCTTCTAGACAGGTAACACATCACAATCCCTTGTGAATCTTTATATTAAGTTGTACACATCTATCAAATTTATCTCGCTGGCGTTAATATAGATTGTTATTTTTCATTGCCATGCTCTATAATTCTGTATGTCTGTGATTTTTTCTAGGTATTGGTCACTCCAATAATTCAAGGCGAGGTCGATTTGAACTCAGAAGCTGAATTGTCCTGGCCCGACGAAGCAGAAAACCCAAAGGTGGATTATATAGAGATGCTCATCGCCGAGGGTGCAGAGTTTTGCAGGGAGTCCTTCCTTGGTGGCCGTCTAGGCGATGCGCCACCCCCAAAGTCTTCGGTTCTGAAAAGTCAAAAACGCAAAGCGAAAGCTGCCGTGAAAAAAAAGTCCGTTGGGACTTCTTCTCGTGCCAAAAAAACCAAGGAGAGTGGAAAATCAGCAAGTGCGGCCGACAAAGACGATTGCCCGCCTACTGCGATGGACATCATTTCAGAGCAGATTGAAGCTGCAATGAAGAGGGCCCAAGCCGCGATGGTTGATTCACTGGCCTCATCAATGCTCGCTATGGTGAGTAGGATGGAGAGGAGACTGAATGAAAGAATGGACAATCTGATGGTTAAGCAAGCCTAGTCAGCCAAGGCGGAGCAACGTATCAGAGAAGTTATCCGAGACATCAATGACGGAACATCCACAGAGCAGGTACCCCCCGTAGTTGTTTCTTCGAAACACCAGGAAGGCAACCAAGCCGACGGAGATGCACAAACGACGGAGGAATTGGCTTACGCAGGGACATGTCCAGCCGTTTCCCCACCTAACGTTATAGCAGAAAGAAACCTCCGTAACAGTTTAGCCACTTTGCGTGCACAACAGAAGTCTGTGTCTTCCCCGGCTGCAATCGCCACGGGGGTCATGGCCGACAACCACAAGTTCACCACACTCACAATCAACGCTTCACCGGAAAGGTATATTACTTTTTGGAAATATTAATATCCATATTCTTATGTTGACCGTTATAGAATCATATAGTTGCGTATTGGTAAATGGCTCCATAAATATATGTAACAGCTCACCCGTTACATTTTGTTGTCCAACATTTACGTAGGGTACTACAAATGGGTGAGGGACTGTGTATCAGGGAACAAGACTTACTTGATTTACCTCTATCCATTCCGCCGTCCCATCATGAGGTACAGCAAAACCACTGATCAATTCTAACTAAGTGATTACCAAAACTTTATTAACGAACCCCGTTGGTTATCGGCAGGTCGTGGATGCTTGTACGATGATGTTGCAGAAATCCTGGCTCGCTTGCTTTGCACCCAACAAAGATAACAGGTCCGACATTCTCCCCAGAAGTTGGGCTGTCTCCATGGCCAAACAGTTCCCCAAATTTAGCATATCGAACCGGAAGGAGACGTTTGAATTTAGGGAAGCCATCATGGATACGGTTTACGCAAGACCCTAAGTGTGGATCAAAGACATCGACTTCGTATACTTTCCATTTTCTGTTGACAAGAACATATGGGTGGGGGTCATGATAGATTTACTATCCTCCAGAATGATGGCGTTTGATTCATCTGCCTCAGAGAGGCGTGGAGCGCGCATTATCCCTGAGCTGCAATACATTTGCCAGATGTTTCCGTATCTGGTCCGCAAGGCCACATGCGGCGAGGGAGTGGTTGATTATGGGCTCGCACCTCTGCAGATTAGGAGAGACACAACGGTTGTTCAATCCACTGAAAGGAAATGTACGGGGATGCTGACACTCATCATCATGGAGGCGCATGTTGCCGGAGGACTGTCCAAGGCTTACGAAGTGCACGAAGGAATGATCGATCAGCGCGCGAAGGACCTTGCCGTGGAGATGGCCGAACATTGTGCACATGTCACCGGCACCCTTTAGTGCGATGGGGAAACTGAATATTCTGTATGTCCGTTAAAATTCAAACTTGGAGGTCCACAAGCGTCTTACTTTGGCTTGTATTTGTGATTGTATTGTATGGTCCTTTTGGTGTCGTTGTGGTTTTGTGTGTAAAAACTTAATTTACTCTATTCTCCACAATCCTAAAATGTTGTTTATGTTTGCTATAGCGTAAATAAGAGTTGACCCACTCGGTCTTGTTATTCCTACTATAATGGTTAGAGTAACGGCGACAACACGTTTAATATATTATACTTCATCATATTAATAGATAGATATTCGTTGAACTTTCATGGACGTCTACATACAGATATAGGCATCTATAATAGCGAGTTTAGTTTTATGTAACTAAACGCGCTTTGCATGGGATTTATTATGGTTTTGTTGCTTCGGTCGGACAAAACCACCTTACCGGCGGGTCACTCTTTTATTATCGTGGTTCATGCTTATTATAAACAAAATTGGCGCATACTTGATTTTAGTTCTCCTATAATATATTATAACTCAATATATCGTTAAATAAGTCTGCTATTTAGATATGTTGATGCTAAACATACTTACATAAGCACACTTAAAATGATTAGACGAAGGCCTTAACTTGAATATTTCACATTAAACGGGGCCCCGAAGGTACGCCAGATATACATAGATTGCCCTCTCAGGGGCAGAGTTTCTGATATTTTACAAACACAATCCGGTACAATTATACTAAACTTATAATACTAAGGTAGCGCCTCTGTTGATGCATAGAAGCATTTGTGGCCGTGGTGGTGGATTTAATACAAGCGATGAAAGAGCCACTTATTTTCCGAGCACACAACAGAAACTTCAAGCCGCGGAGCTATCATCGTACATGAGAAAATTGGAAGCTCCAATCTGCGAACAAATTCAAAAAAATTGCATGATTTTTGGCAGGGACAGAAGACCGAGATGGTTCTTATGTCAATGTGTCATACACAATTACCAAACAACACAGAGAACGATCATATGGGCAACTTGCATGAAGAGCGGTTATGCCCTGTCCCATTGCAGCGGCTGCACTTGCGGAAAAACTTCTTCCCCGGATGCTAAACGTGTATGTGTTAATTAGAGTCAATAATAGACGGACATGTGAAATTATACGTTGATATAAGTATATATAGCACTACACTAGATACCGTATACTCCCCTGTTGAAAGGTATCTACTATGCTTTGGCCTACTTGGGGGACTCCTTGTCTTCGGTTGTAGGACATTCATTGCAGCCATCTCAGAAGGGACTGCATACAGACTGTTCAAGGCAGGCACCGAATTTATGCTTTCATGGTAGGCGAGACGCCAGTAAAACATCCCATATTCTGCAGCCATAATCATGGGGATATGAACGCCACCCTTACTCGCGGCCGCAACAGCATGACAGCACGGTATCTTCAAATGGCTAAACTCTTCACACGTGCATGTTTTGTGGTGGAAGTCCACATGGTAAGATAGGCCAGTATGAGTTTTCACTTCGTAGTGATCTTTGTTGATTTGGAGGACGTTCCAAGCCGTGGAGCGCTCGTAGTTAATATTTATGAGCTCTCCCACTTTCGGAGTCATCGGTGATATATGGTTCGCTGCCACATCTCTCCTTTTGCTGAACCAGGACATGGGCATACCACTGAGGAATTCTATCACATACAATTGGCAACTCCCGAGCTTCTTTTAGTGCGGTGTTAAGAGACTCCACTACGTTATTTGTCATTATGTTGTACCGTTCACCATCACAATGAGATCTCGTCCAGTGGTGGAAACCAATGGTGTTCAAATACTCAGCACATTCCAGTGACATCCCCTCAATCTCTGCAAAGTACTTGTGGAAGGTGGATCTGCGATACGCATGAGCTGCTTTGGAAATCACACCAGCGAGGGCCTTATTCTTAAACTTCGCCGCCACATTCCTTTGTAGATGCACTATGCAGGCTCCATGTGTGGCCCTTGGGTATTCCTGAATTTTAAAGATAACAGGCATGCAACCCCACAGCAGTCAGATTGCAACGTGATTGAAATATTGGTGTCAACGTAACAACCCACAAGTAAATATAGGCGCTTATATTTATTTATACCTTATACAGCCCCGCATAGATTGACGAATGCCGATCCGAAACAAAGGCCAATGCCTCGTCATCGGGCACGATATGCTTCAACTTCTGGAAAACCACTCTCACGCTTTATCAATTTCTCCATCGACGACCGCAAATGCCAGCAGATAAATTTGGAAGTTCCCATCATGTGCACTCGCCGTCAACAAGCACCCTGAGTACTTGCCTCTAAGGTGAGTGCCGAACACAACCAGACCTTACGCATGAACTGCAAACCACGGACACTACCACCCAGTGCCACAAAGCAGTACTTGAAGCACTTGTTCTCAGCAACATCTTCCTCCGTTTTGATGGCCGTTACCGACCTCGGATTGCTAAGTTCCACCAGATGCATGTACATAGGTAAGAGGCTTTAGCTACCAGCAGCAGAGCCATTTGCCCAGTCCATTGCCATCTCCCTCGATCTCCATGCTTTCCAATAAGAAATGTAAACGTGATGGTGCTCGAGCATCACCTGTACAACAGCAGATGGGTTTGGACCTCGCTGTTCCCCCACATAATGCTCTCTCATCATTTCGGAAATGACGGAAGTTGTGGCTTGGCGGTGAAATTGCCTATGCACATCAACCGGACAATTGTGGTGCAGCGTTGCAGTTCGGATTTGGAAGTATTGGGTATCTTCAGTATGAACAATGTATACCCTCCACAAACATGTATCAGAGAGACATCTCACCACCACGAAGTCATTGTTGGACCTCTCGTTACAGTAACTGAACCTCCTATTTATGGTATGGACAGCTATCTTAACTTTGCATTCTCGTTTGTTTTTGGAAACACGTCCCAAATACAGCTCATCCCCCTCGTACGCCACATCCAATATGACATTTTCAGTCTGTTCCAATCTTGTGATAAAAAGTCCATCAATCAACTTAGATGTTCATTTATTTACTTACGTGTTCATCTATTTTTAATTAACCACCCAAGCAAAATAGGGTCCGCAATCGTCTATAACTATCCAATAACATTCATAGATATTTATATGATATAATAGACTGTCATTTATTTCACAGAAAGACCATCATGAACAGCCAAAATAGCAAATAGCATTCTACAACACATTGTAAAGTTAGTATCTGCTGCCTTCATTTACTGAGATAATTATACATTATTTTTACATGAAAGCATAAACTCAGCGCACCATCACATATTGTGTAGTTTATGTACCTTCATCGTCAGAATCATCAAGCACTGGGGCTGCATCCCTTGTAAACGAGAATGGGGGTATCCCATCAACCGGCACCCCATCCACCGGGATGTCAGAACCACCCGTGGGTCAGCGTTACATGCGACATTCTCAGATTCGAAGCCTGCAACAACAATAAATGCTTCATAGATTAAGGACAAGGCCAAACGGAGTAAATAATCAGGTACAGATTTGGGAATGAGCATTTATTACACTCTTCATGACGGTCGCAAACGCTATTTTTTCCCTTTTCTTATTCTAAGTCAATAAAAAGTAAATGGACGAATATACACGCGGACACCAAAATCCAACCTGTCTGAGTATCTGCTCCAGATACCTCTTCATTCCTTCTGTCCCCCTCATGTGTGCATATGCCACCATACACACCTGTCACAGTAACCAATGAGATTTTTGTCTTACCTACCTTTACAAATTTTTGTACACATTTATATTCTTAATTACCGTCCATCCCGTGGATCGGGAACAAATCTTGTAGAGGATAAACCCTTACGGAAGATTCTTCGACGTCGGGGATGTTAAGATCCGGGTGGGACTATCCCGAGCCATATCCACTGTTACTGTCCACTACGCGCTTGTCCTTCATAGGAACCATATTGCTTTGTACCGCACCCAACCGACACGCTAGCCACGACACTGTGACATGTTGGCTCGAGTCACCTTCATCTGAGGTGTTTGAAGGCGGCTGCATCCCCGGGAAGTTGTCGCTGCTGCTAGCTGAAGGGACATTGACATTGAGTAGGCCACTTGGACTGCTTCGAGCCACCTCTACTAAAGCAAATCCGTGTGTCACCGGCATGACCAAAAACCCTTCGATATCCAGTCATATTCTTCGGCATCGGAACCACATAGAGCTTCAGGTCCGTGGAGGTGAACCCGCATAGCGAGGAACATGTCCATGTCAGCGTCGTTTCGGATATGGACCGGCACAGGCTTGACAACTCCATCTGAGTCCATCCACTCCGACATCTCGTACGTTAGCTTGACGTTCTCCTCATCCATGTTGATGCGTAGTTCTCTACACATCGTCGCATTTACCGAGGCTACCCCTTCCCCCTCCCGTAGCTTAATACCTTTGTTGACCCTGTCCTCTAACAATACAAATCGCCACACGCCCTCCCCCCCCCAGCATCTTTCATCCACCACCACTGTTCTGCCTGGACCAGATCGCTGAGGACTTCCCAAAGATGCACCATTGTCGTTACCCCTTAAAGATATCTGGTTCATATCGCCGTTGTTATTAATAACAGAAGGACTTCAACATTAGACATAAATATTCATAAATGAAATGCCTGGACCAGAATATACGTTTACCTGCTCAAACTGGTTGTAGCGCTATATGGAATTAGAGGCAGAAAACTACTATTTATGGACACCACAAACCTAGGTGTACACATATATTTTCACTTTTCCGCCCACTCACTCAAAAAATCTTATTCCAGCATTACTAATTCACAATAACTATCCATCCCCTTAGCTTATCTCATGCATACGTCAGGCGGCGTAAAGATTATCTTGTCCCCCCCCCCCCCCCCCCCCCCCCCCCCCCCCCCCCCCCCCCATTTAATGCTACCCGACGGTTATCTGATCTCGCCAACCCCTCGCTCTTGTTAATTTTATTGTTCATAACATATTCTTATAGTTTGACAGAACCATGCGCGG